GGGCACTGAGGTGACCATTCACTTACCAGGTGTGTGAAAACACACACACACACACACACACACACACACACACACACGCGCACGCACGCGCTGCCATCATGTCAATTCGAAAGCATAGCAAGCCTATAGGGCAGAGTACAGCTGCCCTTTGGGTCCCAGGAGCGCTGATATATCGTGGGCTATTTGATGGGCTGCTACGACAAGATCAGCCATTTGAAACCACCAGCTGCTTCAAGGGATAAAGGTGAAGCTTTCTACTCTATAAAGATTTGCAGGCTTGGAAGCCTTTAGGGATAGTTCTACTCTGTTCTACCGGTCACTATGACCTGAAACTGATTTAATGGCAATAAGTTTGTTTTTAAAATATCTTTATAAGATCAAAAGCATTATCTTTCTCCCTTGGATGGTTGGTGGCTTTGAACCACTAACCATGCAATAAGTAGCCCAATGAGTAGTAAGGTAACTTAAAAATTATTGCTATAAAATCATAGAAACCTGTATTAAATAAATATATCAAAAATGTGAAGCTATTATTTCTGGACATACACTCTATTTATGTCTATAAACTTCTGAAAGCTTTTTCCTTCTCTCTCCCTCCCGAAGAGTTCTGTAATCTTTGATTTACACCACATCAAAACAGCACGCTTGGCACACTGAAGGGACCCAAGCCATTTTCCTTTTCAATGTTGAGTTGGGAAATAAAAAGACGTCTAAAAGATGCTATCTGTAGGGTGGGTGCAGTAAGGGTTCCGAATGAAATTCTCCTAGGAGGTCCTTGCTCCCCTTGAAGAATGAGCAGATAAGCTGTCAGGATAGAAAAACAAAACCAAACCCTCCATGTACCTTTCCTGGCCGTTTTTCTCACCAATGCAGCTCTTAAAGTCTAAGGACTCCTTCCTAGGAAACCCTGTGATCGTCCTATGCTGTGTCCTTGAAGAAAATCAATCAAGATCTCCCTTTTGGAATCTCAAAAAGCAGTCACCGTACCATCTGGGCTGACCTCTGTGCTTTTAATATAACTAGCCTGCAGATCCCCTAGGAAGCCATTATTTGGATTGGACTTTTTTTTTTTGGAAAGCATCCTAAGGAGACTAGGACAAGTGAATTACTGAGAAAACGTGTCTGCAGCTACTGCAGCTCTGTACTTGATCCCAGAGACAAGTATAAACAGTTTGTCGGGAATAAACGTGTGGGTGTATGAACTAGAATGCTAGTAGCAAAACCTTCTGATTTTCCCTGCAATTAATTTCAAGAACATGTAGAAATACAAAACTAAACTTTGTTCTTTTCCCAGTGAAAAACCCATCCCCCACTTCACAGTCTTCTTTTCAATAAAGCGTTAGGCAGCTGGGCTATGGTTAGAATAGTTAACCTGGAAAAACAATGCTGCTTACCCTATTTATTTTGGATGCTGCTGACTCTATTTATTTTGGATTTTATCATCTTTGAAAAGTACGGATAAACCAATCAAAACAAAACATAACACCTTTAAGAGACATAAAATCTGAAGAAGCCATTACACCACAGAGGCTATCCACGAAGCTTGCTCTGGGCACAGTGTGCCAACTCACTTACTTCTTAGACTCCCCATGCTGGGCACAGGCTGGGTCCTGGGAGGGAGGGTGCTGTGGTAGGGCGGGGTGGTGCTGAAGAGAATGTCATTGGGCAGGGCTTGATCCAGCACAGAACTCCGAGAACTGCCAAAAGAAGAGCTTCTCCGATGACTGCAGATACTCTCATCCGAGAGCGTGCGGTACAGCGACCTTCTTGGAGACAGGTTCCCATAAAACAGAAACTAGGTGCATTGAAACAAAAAGGAGGTGGTGGGGAGAAGAAAAGATATGTTAAAAACTAAAAACTTGGATTTATTTCATGAAATACAATGCATTCCCCTACTACTGCGATACCTTTGGGTTTATCCTCAGTAGCTTAAAAGTACAACGAATCATGAGGTGTTTCAGTGCAGTGATTGGATTTTAATGTTTGCCTACTTTGACATTCTGTGAAATACTATCATGAATTACACATGCATAGCATTATTAATTCTTAAATGCTAAATGGAACCTCCATGACCTGATAGCAGTGATGACTCCTGGAAATACGTAAGATTGCCATTTCAAGCAACAGTTAGTCACACAGTGCCAGCTTGATTTTAATTTGAAATGACTATATCTTAATATTAGGCAATTTTTGTGTGCCAATCAAGCGCATGTGAGGTTCAAGCTAATCTAAATAATAACACAACTTATTTTGAACACTGCATCTTTCTAGACCATATAAATGGTTCAAGAAAAATATTTTCAGTCCAATAAAATCTTACTGTCCATTTAAAGCGACTTGTGATCCAGTCCACTAGATCACAATGGCTGAACACTGGCTCATAGCAATTTAAACCAGATTTAAAAGAATCATTACGTGACCGTGTGTGAACTCACAGACAGCATGAAGATAAATCTTACTACAAACGAAAGTTTTCAAAAGCTGGTGAAAAATTCAATCAAATTTCCAACTTTTTCCTCTGCAGGTTGAACTCTGTTCCTTTTACATCAACAATAGCAAAAGCAAGAAGGTTCACATCAAACAAATATAGAAATGGCTATTTACATTTTGGAATGCAACAAGAAGGCTAAAAATATGTCTATTGTATGTGTTCCTTCCATTCTGCCAAAGCTTCCCTACTGATGAATGGTACTCTAATGTGTGTGAATTTCAAAGTTAAATTTACATCATAGAAAGGTAATTTATCTTAGAAGAAAATACAACGGACGCCAAGAAAAAGTTCACTCCCTGGAAAAGAAAAGGAGTTAGCACTTTTTGTACAAATCTGCTGTTGCACCCAAGTTTGTACAGCACCATGTACATGATTAGGACAAGTTCAAAAAGAAGACTCATAATTCACTTTTTATGGGATTCCCTCTTACCACATGACTTGCAAGTCCTTTACAATAGGATTAGAAGCACATAGATTAAAATGGCTTCAAGGTAAAATCTAATTAGACTGTTACTGTAAGAACACAAATAGGCTAACTGCAATATTATTATTTTATTATAGGGAAGACAAAAGCCCAAAGGCTTGCTTCCACCTTGATCATGGTCTAGCAATGTCTTGATTTTTACTCCTCCCACCTTGACATGTGAACAAGCGGGAGCACTGAATTCGGAATGAGAATATCTGCATTTTATTCCTGTTGCTGACAGCATTTCTTTGGGAGCTAACCTTTTACCATTTGGGGTCTCAGTGAGTTGCACGAAGAAGACAAGGGGCTAATAACCTGTAACCACCACACGGCCAACAGGTTGATGCTGACTCACAGAAACCCTGCATCTGCTTTCTAAGGCTTTGTAAATCTGTATGAGAGCAAATGGCCTCCTCTTTCTCCACGTGGCTTTTCATATTTTCTGAGGAGGCCTGGTGGCATAGTAGTTTTGCATTGGGCTGCTAACCACAAGGTCAGCAGTTTGAAACCACCAGCTGCTTCAAAGGAGAAAGACGGCACTTTCTACTCCCACAAAGAGTTACAGCAACAATTCACTGGGGGCAGTTCTACCCTGGCCTAACATCCTACAGGGTTGCTATGGGTCAGCATTGATTCGATGGAAGTGAGTTTGGTTTGGGGTTTAAGGGTGCAGTAATAATGAAACTCATAGTAATCATAGCACTCACAACGCTGACCTTATCAAGGATCATTACAAAGAGACTAAAGAAGGCATGCCACTGGACCTGAGGCTGCTTTATAAACCACACAGATGGCCTTCACTGTGGTGTGTGCATACTTCCAACAAAGTAGCATGCATGCCCTCCCCTATTTCTAATGCCCATAGTAACTCCAGTCCACTTCCGGGGTAGAGTTACACTGAGGACGGGCAGCCTGCCACGGCAGAGGAAACAGATCAGGATGAATAAGCAGGTGCGTGGAATTGAAGTGCTACTTCAGGTTTGGAATTCGTTACTTTTTGATCACTAATTACGTACAGGTTCTGTACTAGGTTCGACATATGTTATCTTCTTTCCTATGCCTCCGCAATAGAGCGTCTCTGTGTTTTAGAGGACAACAGACGTGGACAGGTAAAGTAACTCAAAGTACACAGATAAAAACAACAGGAACCTGGATTTAGGCCCATTCTCCCCCATTTTAAATACTCCAACTTAAACTCTGTGACCCGTGATTAGGGTTTCTCTGATGACTTATAACTTTTTAAATGATCAGATATGTCAGCCCCACAGAGTAGCTTAAGGGTCAAGAGTGAGTAAGCGCACAGGAAAGCACTCAGGGCAATCTCAGGCTGTTTTAGATGCGCGCATGTGTGTGCGCGTGTGTGCCCGTGCGCACGTGCGAGTTCTAGTCACTCCAAAGCCCCCCAAATGTAGGTAACCTTTCTTCTTCCGTCCTCCACTAAGGGGCTATCTGGAAGCATCAACTTCAGGAAATCTTCTTTTGACAAGACATGTGGAGTTTCTGAAACGGCATCTCCTCCCACTGACGGATGTGGACTTGCTATAGCCATGGTATCCAATTCATTATATATTCTGTTAAAATAAAGCAGAACTGAAATTACGAGATTTGGTTAGCCTGTTTTCAAAGTGCCTATAGCATTATGAAGTAAAGTATAGTAACCGGCTCCAACAGTCACTAACACAGGCATATAATTTTAAATTGGTTCATTTTTGCTACATTTGCTCAGAATTCCTATGCCTTTTTACATTTGTGAAATGTGTTGAAACACAAAGTTAGAATTCTTAGTATTTCAGAAACAAATTCGATCTCCAAAGCCCAGGACATAGGAAACCCAGTCAACTTAAAAAATAAGGTTGCATTTTCCCTTTCCAAAGCTGTGTCAGAAAACACAGTTTTAATAATTCATCAGAGATTATCATATATCTTTTGAAGCAACTTGGGTGCTTCTCAGAAACATGAGCCCACTTTTCTCTTGAGGCTGGACAACCAGATCCATATCTTACCCTGGCAACACAGAGGCACCCAAGAGAGGGGCTGGGGGTTTAAGAGTTATCAACCCTGGCGGGTGCCAAGCATGTTTTATTATCAGCAATTCCACAAAGCTGTTTGAATAAATAAAGCAGCTGCCTGCCTTAATTATCAGTGTATAAATATGTATTTACGGACAACAAAAAACTGTCAAGCTGAATTATTGTTTTCAGCTCTCTTCCAGAGAGGAAACAGGGGAGTCATTTTAAACAGAGTTATTCTGAAAATGCAACCCGAGCCACGAATGCTGCTGGAGACAATGGGAAACAAGCCCTGTACTGCCAGTGGAGGCCAGCGTTCTTCACCACGCGGTGCTTCGGAGTTACACTCTGGGAAGGTTGTCTCCAGCGGCAAGCCACAGAAGATCACCCACAGGTCCTCATGGGCCCTGGAGATGACTTTACTTCAGAAGCCAGGCTACCTCATCACAGGTGGGCCAGCTCACTGGGAAATCGTTTTAATACAAAACCACACAGAAATGCTCACAATTAAGATTGCTTTCTCTGAAAATCTCTGGAATGTTTGCTTGATTCCTGAGGCGGGACAGGCTTTTTTGCACTTCTCAGTTCTTGAAGTGTAGCCAATGCTGACAACATGAACAATGAGTTTCTGTAAAAAGAAGCTTCTAACAACTTGGGGGAAAAAATTAAAGATGTGCCTTGCTTGTGGAATAAAATGACAATTAAAATGGTAGCTACCGGGATGCCAAGCCCTGGGAGAGCTCTGCAAAAAAGCCATATAACCAACACTGTAAAGTTTATGAATAGTATGTCCAAGAAGTGCCCCCAAAGCGCAGCATCTATCACTGGAAAACCAACAGGTCTGATATGGTTGATGTTATGCGTCAATTTAGGTAGACTATTATTCTCAGTGGTTTGGCAAACACTATCTAATCACCTTCCATTTGGATCGGACGTAAACAGTAAATAGGTGAACAAGAACTTTCTTAGGGGAGTGGCCTGCCTCCAGTATATAAATAGATGTTCTAGAAAAATCTCTCTTTTTTTGGCCTTATATTCTTCTCGTCACCTGCCCTCTGATTCTTAGGATGGGAGCCTTCAGAATTCTCTGGCCTGGTTCCTGACCTGAGCATTATCGAGTCAACAGTCTCTGCAACCCACGAGCCATCAGAGGCCTCCAGCCTGATGCCAGATCTGCAGATTTTGGGTCCATCATCCTTAACAACTGTGTGAGATAGCAGAGATTTTTAGTCTGTTGCCTGATCGTTGGCCTGGGACTTGCCAGTGTTCACAATTGCGTTAGCCATTTCCCTGAAGTAAATTTATATATATGAAAAAGTTTGTGGAAAGTTAAATTATATTATAACTCAATTTTTCAAAAAACTCTTTACAGAAAACCCTTACATATGAGGATAAATTAAAAACACTGCTACTAGGATTCCAGTTTATACAGGTACAGCTTTATTCTAAACAAAATGCACATAAACACACCTTTGTGATCAGTGGATGGCTACAGGTAAGTTCTCTGAGTAATACACTTGTCTTTTAATGATGCCTTAAAAATGGTTCAATCAGAATGGTGCCTTCTAAGGAGATCTACGGGGCCAGTTAAATTAAAGGCAGAGAAGTTGGCCCAGAAAGTTATGGTGACTGCTCTTTTGAGATTTCAAAAGAGCAATCGTGATAGATTTTCGCCAAGGACTTGGGATGAAGAAGTCTTAAGAAAAGCAAAAACTATGTTGGTGAGGAAAAGGCAGGAAAGCAGCAGTAAGGGTGCTTTTGTTTTCCCCAATCATAGCAAGGCACCTACATGTTCTTGCAGACAGCAAGTGCTGTCCTAGAAGAATTTCAGTTGAATACCTTACCCCATCCACCTTGCAGCCCTGAGCTTACCTCGTTAGACTCCTTTTTAACTTCTCAAATACAAAGAACATTTAAAAGGAACATGATTTGAGTCCCTTGAGGATGCCAAAACTGTTGTTTTGATGTGGTCTAAATCAAAGAGCGCAGAATTCTCCAGGGAAACATTAAAGAGATGAAAACATTGTCTTAAGACGTGTACAGCTATCAACAACTCGGACTTTAGACTCTGTCCTTACAAAGTACATCCCACCCTTCAAACCAGGAGGCTCTGATTCAGAAACCCCACTAAGCGAACTGGAGTTTACCTTAAACTTGCTGGTAGCAGATTTAAGGAACTAAAATACTCGCTTAAATTTAAAGCTAAAACGTCTGAGGATAAGAAAGTAGATGATTGTTATCTCAAGGTTGTGGATTCAGAGTTTGTTGAACTTTGGTTCAGATCTCTTTTGTGGGTGTCAAATGAATGGCAGCTTGTGAGTACTATATACTCACTATTTTCATGCCGTCTTTGAATTTTTTTTCTGGCATATCTTAGTCTAGCAGGCATAGCTCTGCCTTTGAAAGTTTTTCTTTATCTCCACCCTTCAATATGATGTCTAAACAGTATTTGAAATTCCACCAACACTGGCTAAATTAACGAATGGCACTATCAATAGAATTACAACAGGCCTCATGGGGATTATTTAAAATGCTCCCTAATTAAAGGATAATGATGTCTCTAAAGTGGACCAAGGGCATATAGAAATCATAGATATAGAACAGATTTTAAACTCACACTTAATTGTAGACCTAATCTAAGACATTAGTTCTTATGATGTAGCCCTACTCCATATTTTCCCTCCTGGAGAGATCACTGGACATACGGATAATATTGCAAAGAGAAGTGAACAAATCACATGGTGCCTAGCTATGAGAAAGAATAGCATCAGGGATATTAAAGGCTTGTTTTAAAACAAGCAGCCTTTTAAATGAGATGTCAGCCTAATCTACATGGAAGAATCATACCAACCTGCCAGATCAAAGAACTGTAAATAATAAAATCCAAGAGCTGAGGAGGGAACTGGATTAGCTTTAATTCTGAGCACGTTTGCAGAAGGCTATGGTTGAAAGTCCCAAATCTATTTGCATGGTCCCCATGAGGATTAACTTTCCAGTGAATCTCCTTTGACCAAGGGCCAAGGATTTGAATGGCCTTGTTATTATGCAAAGGGAATGGTAAGCACATTAATGCAGATTTACTTAGGGTAAAATCCACACCTTATCATTTTTCTTCTTTCTAATCCATTTAAAATTTGTTTTAGATTTATTATTTCTGTGATCTTTTCCATTGAGGTTTCTCTCTGATAAGTAGAAGAAGAAAATGTTCTAAAGTCGATTGTGGTGATGATTGCCCAATTCTTTTAAATATGTTTAAACTAATGATTGTGTGATATGAATTGTATGTAAATAACTCTGTTAAAATTTTAAAAAATAGTGTACAGACCTAGATGGAGAATATGCTGGGAAAAAAATAGCTTCAAGATTTTTATATTTTTGTTTAAAACAAGTTTCTATGATTTTGTAGCATTTTTTTTACCAATTGTATTTATATATCCTTATTGGTTATACTCACTGGGCTGCTAACCACGAATCAGCATTTTGAAACCACCTGCCACTCTTCCGGAGAAAGATGAGGCTTTCTACTTCTGGAAAGACTCACAGAAACTCACAGGAGCAGTTCCTTCTGGACTTACAGAGCTGCTCTGAGTCAGAATTGACCAGGGCACTCAATGTGACTGACCAGGAGGTGCTTTCTAGGAATGGAGACAGCCATGGTGACATGAGTGAGGTAAAGTGTCTGGGAGGGGAGCCTTCAGGACCTTCATTTGTTGATGGGCCATAATTCAAGATAAAGAGATACAGCTGCAAACATTTGCTAATGATCAGACATTGGAAAATGTAAAGTATGAATATAGGAAAATTGGAAGTTGTCACAAATGAAATGGATGGCATAGCCCTCGCTGAGCTGAAATAGACTGGTCCTGGTCATTTTGAATCAGATAATAAAGTGGTGTACTATGCTGGGAATAACACAATAGCATTGTATTCATTGTCAAAAGAACATTTCAAAAACAATGCTGTCTGTGATAGGATTATATCTAATCGGCTTGAAGGAAATTCAGTTAATACAACATTATTTGAATTGATGCACCAAGCACAGAAGTTAGTGATGAAGGATTTGAAGAATTCTACTAATGACTTCAATTGGAAATTGATCAAACATTCAATCAAAATGCATTGATAATTATTGGTGATTGGAAGGCAAAAGTTGGAAACAAAGAGCAAGGAGTAATAGTTTGAAAATAAGGACTTGGTGATGGCAACAATGCTGGAAATTTGCATGATAGAGTTTTGCAAGACCAATGTCTAATTCATACAATATACCTTTTATTAACAACACAAAAGGCAACTACACCATGGGCTTCTCCAAATGGAATACACTGAAATCAAATTGACAACATCTGTGGGAAGACACAATGGAGAAGCTCAATATCAGTATCAGAAGAGACTGAAATTTGCTCTTAATTGTAGAGTAACTAAGGCAAATGGAAGAAATGACGACGTCAAAGACCAGACTAGACATTTTCAAATGGCGGCTTGAAAAGACAACATCAAATATTTTAATGCAATGTGCAAAGACCTAGAGTTAGAAAACCAAAAAGGAAGAACACAGCATATCTTAAACTAAAAGAACTCAAGCCCAAAAAAATCAAGTCTCTAGTTGTCATATTGAAAGATTAGAACAAAAGACTGAACTATGCAGGAAGTCTGAGAAGAAGATGGAAAGAGTACATAGAGTCGCTGTATCCAAAATAACTAGTTACCTCGCCACCATCTCAAGAGGTAGCATATGATCAAGAACCAATGATACTGAGAAAGGAAGTTCAAGCTGCACTGAAGGCATTAGCCAAAACAAGCCCTAGGAAACTGATGGAATACCGATTGAGAAGTTTCAACTGGCTGATGAAGCACTTGAAGTACTCATCTATCCCAAGATATTTGGAAGACAGCAACCCGGCCAACAAACTGTCAAAGATCCAGATTTGTACCCAGTCCAAAGAAACGTGACCCAACAGGATGTGCAAATCTATAACAACACCATTAATAACATATGCAAGTAAAATGTTGCTGAAGATCATTCAACAATCGTTGCAGCAGTACACTGACAAGGAGCTGCCAGAAATTCAAGCCAGATTCAGAAGAGGATGTGGAACAAGGAATACCATTGCTGATATAAGATGGATCTTGGCTCAGAGAATATCAGAAAGATGTTTACTTCTCTTTTACTGACTATGTAAAGGAATTTGACTTTGTGAGTCAGACAAACTCTAGCTAATCTTGAGAAGAAGAGGAATTCTGAAAATCTTCATCGTGCTCATGAGGAATTTGTACATGGATCAAGAGGCAGTTTTGGGAACAGAACAAGGTTTAAAATCAGGAAAGGTGTATACCCTCTCACCATACATAACTACTCAGAGCTCGATGCCTTTTCCATAAAACTGGGGTGGGACCAAATGACTTCTCAATATGTGCCAGTGAAGATGTGCAGGACCCTGTAACCTGCTCTCAGCATCCTAGGGTCTGCCAGAATCTCAAGGTCAGTGTCTTCCCCAGGAATACATTCCCTGTCCCCCTTGTAGTTACATTTTGAATTAATTTGTATTTATTTTAAAGTAATATTTTATTGCATTTTCAATGATTTTACACAGCAAAATAATTCCCCATTTGAAAATTTCTATACACATTGTTCAGTGACATTAGGTGCATTTTCCACACTGTATCAACATTCTCTTGAATTAAGTTCTGGTTGTTCTTTTTCTATGACTCTAGTTTCACTGCGCCCTATGGTTTCATCTTGGCTTTAAGTCTCACATGTTGGCTTTTTTGTCTCACATAGATAGGGCACCGTACTCTGGATAAGATCCTTTATTTTGTGTGCTAGTCTGTTATTTCACTAACGGGTGATCTTAAGGGATAGTTTGGGCTCGCAGTCTCTTTTGTATTTCACCCTGGGTCCGTGTGCATAGAAGGATATCCAGAGACAAGAAAACATTTCTCATAATGTTCCTGTGTGCCTTTCTTTGATTTCAAGTCAGTGTCCTAAAACCCGCCTGATGAAATGATTATGTTGAATATCCCCTAGCGAAATCTGCCAGTACAAGCCCCTTTCACATCGCTCTGACTCCTATGGAAAGCCCTTCTCTTTACACAGTATTTACACCTATGTATAAGATGCTTAGAAAATTATTTTATAGAGCCTGAGAGGCCGGCAGTGAATTTATGTGACACACTAGGAAATTCTCAAAAAACCCTCATAGATAAAATATCAGCCTATCATTATGAAATCCATATGCACAATAAAAAGGTTTAGTTATCAATATAAAAATTATTTGTAGACTACTCATTACAATTACTAACATGATATGTCTTTTAACTACATGTTCAATCTTAACATAAAATGACTTTTAGTTTTGAAGGCACTATGAACAATATTTAAGATATTAGATTATTTTTTCAAAGAAAAAAGCAATGTTCGGTCATTGACCATGCTTAAAAAACCTAGCAGAGATCTCTAAAGAGGCATCATTGCACATATGTACATGCACACATGTTTGTGTGAGCACAACCCATCACATGCATCTGAAGTACAATTCCAGTGTATGCAGGCACAGTCCAATACAATGATGTGATGATCTAACCCTTTAAAAAAGAAGCAAAGCAACAGCTAAACTGCACTGAGTCGCCCATAGAATGTTCTTTTTTCTGTTCACAGAGCTATCCGTCCATTTTTCACAAGCATTTCAGATACAAAGCATCCCTAGTTACCTGACACCAAACACTTGACAGCCAAAAGGGAAGTCAAAGTCATGGAAATATTAGGGAGAATACTTTTCCTTTTATGCTGTAATTCCAATAGCAAAACTTAACTACCGTATATACTCGTGTATAAGCCGAGTTTTTCAGCACATTTTTTTCCAATTATTTTATTGGGGACTCGTACAATTCTCATCACAGTCCATACATATATCCATTGTGTCAAGCACATATGCACATTTGTTACCCTCATCATTCTCAAAACAGTTGCCTTCCACTCTAGCCCCTAATATCAGTTGCTCATTTCCCCCCTCCCTCCTCACTCCTCCCTCCCTCATGAAACCTTCATAGTTCATAAATTATTAGAGTTTTGTCATAAGTTACCCAGTCCAATGTTTCCCTCCGCCCTCTTCTCTGTTGTCCATCTCCCAGGGAGGAGGCAATACTTAGATTCTTGTAATTGGTTCCCCCTTTCTACCCCACATTCCCTTCACCCTCCAGGCATCGCCCATCTCACCACTGGTCCTGAAGGAGTCATCTATACTGGATTCCCTGTGTTTCCAGTTGCTATCTGTACCAATGCACATCCTCGGTCCGGCCAAATTTGTAAGGTAGAATTGGGATCATGATAGTGGTGGGGAGGAAGCATTAGAGAACTAGAGGAAAGTTATACGTTTCATCGTTGCTACCCTGCACCCTGATTGGCTTGTCTCCTCCCCACAACCCCTCAGTAAGGGGGTGTTCAGTTGTCCACCGATGGGTTTTGAGTCTCCACTCTGCACTCACCCACCTTTACAGTGATATAATTTTTAGTTCTTGGATGCTTGATACCTGATCCCTTCAACAGCTCATGGTCACACATGCTGTTGTGCTTCTTCCATGTTGTTTTATTGCTTCTGAACCAGTGGGCCGCTTGTTTATCTTCAAGCCTTTAAGACCCCAGATGCTATATCTTTTGATAGTCTGGCACCATCAGCTTTTTTCACCACCTTTGCTTATGCACACGTTTGTCTTCAGTGATCATATCAGGAAGGTGGGCACCCACTGATCTGATTTTCAGTTCTTTGATGTCTGATAACTGGTCCCTTCTGCACCTCATGGTCAGTCAGGCTGGTGTTTCAGCACATTTTTAATGCAGTTTTTGTGGTAAAATTAGGTGCCTTGGCTGATATTCAGTTCGGCTTATACTCGAGTATATACAGTATATAGGAATTCAAACTGTCTTTTGTCTATTTTCATGGAATATACACTCATACCAGTAATATGTTAATTTTAATTACATTCACAATGTAATTTACATTATGACTTTTCTATTGTAGACAGTTTTTAAACATAAGAATAAGAAACAAAGATTTCCTTTAATTGTTTAAATAAAAATCAAGAAAACAGAAGATTGTGAAAGAGAAATATAAATGTCAGCATTTAAAGAGGTTTCAAAAAGACATTTTTAGGTGATCAATTTTTTAGTTAATATATTTCCCTAGGAGGAAAATACAATTGCAATATTCAATCCTCCAAAGGTATATTTTTGCCTAGAGAAGAATAAGCAAACCCTTACCCCTGGCACTCAGTCACCTCAGGCTCTTCTGGTGGTGGACTGCCTTCCGACTTCTTCCAACCGATGACGTACTTGCTAACTGCTCCCTGTCTGTGGTAGGGCTTGGACACTGGCCCGGGTGCCTGTTGACTGCTACTATGGGACACAATGTAGACTTTGGATGTATCCAGAGATCCACCATTTTTGGAACAGTGAGCTGAAGGGCTTCCTGAATGGTGTGAGCCACTGAGGAAAAAAATGGACAAAAGCGACAATACAATGAAATTTTAGCCTGATTGTCAGACATCCAAGTTCAGAGTCACAGTGGTTTACTGCCCTCCTTTTACATGAGCAAAATGAAGGGCAAGGCAAAGTGGATGCAATCTCCTTTTTAACACATGCTAAGCTGTATACTCGTGGCAGGAAGCATGTTAAAATCATGGCCAGTGGAAATTAAGAGGAAACTGGACAACATGCTTAAATTGGCACTTCAGACAAGACAGAGCTCAGGTAGTGAATAAACTGCAGGGAGGCTGTTTAATCTCAATTGTCCTCAGGGGAAGATCAAGCTAAACCACATGATGAAATAGCCACGAGACTGGCAAAAAATGGAACCATATGACCAGACCCAGTTTTAGTAAGCATCTACAACAATGGACTCTCTCCTCCTGCTGTGGGCAGTATAAAGTTTGGAAATAAGTTTGGGCATTATCTAATGAAAGTTTGCACCTGCACACCATAAAATACAGCAATTCCACTTCTGTGTGTACCCAGCCTAAACAAACGATTGCATATGTACAACCAGAGACATGTAAAAATATTGATAAGAATATTGTCTGGACAGATCTGTAATAATAGCAACACAGGTCATGAATAGATACCAACGAGTAAATATGAATACAAATGAAATAGCCTATGAATAATCAAAGTGAGGCTACAAATAATTTAGGTGAATTAAGTCAAAAAACATGTTGAACACGATCTCATTAAAAAACATAATTCATAATGAGGAAAAACTAAACAATATGTTGTGAGGAATGTGACACTCTCTATAAAATATAAAGAAGAGTAAAGGGATGATTGCTACTAAAGTCACTAAGCTGCTACCTCTTGGGAGAAGGAGAGGGGCTGTGTTGGGTCAAGACAGATGGAGCTTCCAGGCCCCAGTCCTGCTCAATCCCTAACTTGGGGGTAGTCACACGGGTGATTGCTGTATTATTGTATGATTCCACAATAACAGAATATTTAGGAAGATGGACTTCCCCAAACCCTGTGCTAAAACAATACAACATTGAAAACGCCAGAGGATAGACTCAAATCTGTGGGTGAGTGGCACTGACTGACTTAGGAAAATTAGCTGGAGTATTTTAATCCAAAAGCCTACAGATCTCTTTAAATTCAAGAGATCAACAATATAATGTTTGATGAAAAATGATTAATAGAATTAGAAATGACTGTCCAAATAAGGAAAATTTTAAGAGAGTTTAAAACAATAGATGTGCTTCAATTGCTGAAAACTTGGCACACAAGAGCATGTGAGAACCCACCCTGGGATCCAGTACTAACTCCCATGCCAGTGTGTAAGGCCTTCAGTTTTGTCATCTGTGCAAGGGGGAGGAATAACAGTATTTACCTCCCAGGGTTGTTCTAAAGAATATATGTTAATATGTATAAAGCACCTAAATATAGCTGGTTAAAAGAAAAAAAGATATGTGGGAGTCCGAGCTATTCAAAAGCTTCCTCAGGTACCAACTTCCCCTGCCTAATGAAATTTAATTTCTGATCAGCACATACCTTTTCTATGAGGTCTATAAATAAAGCATATAGTACAGCATTGAGGAGGATTTTAAAAAGAGCTAAAATTAAGAATTATATTAAAACAGACTTCTTATAGACTTTCAGAAGAAGGAAGCAAGATAAATGGATCCATCTTTGAGTCTTTGGCTATTGGAGAAATTTTTAAAAATCAAAAAGTAATTAAAAAGCAGTCAATAACATAACCTAACATTTCCCCACGTCCATGCAGCCAATCAGTTACTAGTGTAGGTCTGGTATCCGGAGTAAGAATTCGTGGGATTCCTGTATTCAAAACTCTGAGCCAGGACAGCAACATTGTGCACACAAGTCAAATACCAGCTTGGTGGACTAAAAAATCAGTGTTCAGAGCAGACTAAGGAATAAGCAAGAAATAAAACTCGGCCCATACAGAGAGCTCCCTAACCTGAGGCCATCCAGTCACTATTTTCCTAATTCAGACTTGATTAAAAATGTCTTTTAATGCTAGTAACTATTTTAAGGTTTATTCTAAGAACAGATTTTTATAGTCCATTTGATGAGTAATATACAGGAGTAGTACCTTCATTGTATATACGTTTTCTCTGAAGCTGGTCAACACTATACATTGTTGGCAATAAACTTTTCATAAATCAGTCTTCTACAATACATCCTTATTTTATAATTAGACTGCCAAGTTTCAATCATTTGTACTAACAGTTGATTTATTTTGCTTTGTAAAATCTTGGCTAGATTAATATGAACATTGTTTGTATTTTAAGTGCCCTTCCCTTAAAAAAGAAAGAAAACGTGTTTGCTGAATTAAAAGCATGGAGTGGCAAGAAGGGGCAGGAGAGATATGTTTCTGCTGCTTACTGGTTGATTCCTGCAACTCTACCCTTTTGTCCACACCGGTATAGCTTGTTGTAAAGAGTTTTATATACTCGCCCCCACCTATTTAGTAAAAATCTAAAATTGTACCATAAAAACAATTCTATACATACTTTATCCCCCCAAAGCAATTAGGTAAATAAACTATGTGTGTGTGGATAGGGGCTGGGAGGCAGCAGTGGTGAAAAGTTACAATGAGAAAACATGAAACATTAAAAAGTTTCAGAGTAGACCACCTGTTGGATCGGGACACCTGTAACTGAACAACTGTAAGGGTGGTGCCGGGCTGGGCAGTGTTTCATTCTGTTGTGCTCAGGGCGGCTATGGGTGGGCACCGACTTGATGAGACTTCACAGTACTATGAACTGGGAATGGCTGATCCCGGGAATACACTTTCTTTTTCTCCAGACCGTTCAACTAGCATAAGAAACCAAACCCATTGCCACTGAGTCCCTTCTGACACACGCGGAGTCTGTTGAACAAAACAGAACTCAACCACAGGGTCTCCAGGGCTGTTCTCTTAATGGAGCTGACGGTCCTACCTTTCTCCCACGGAGCTGCTGCCTGGTTAGCAGCTGACCCGCTCCACTCCACTCCACTCCACTCGACTCCACTCCACTCGACTCCACTCCACTCCCAGTATTCCTCCCAGATAAGGAGGGGGCCTTGGTTTATTAACTCTATCAAGAAACAATTGCTAACTGAAAGGTTGGAAGTCTGAGGTGCCTTGGAAGAAAGGCTTGACAATCTAAACAGGAAGTCAGTCGTTGAAAAATATGGAGCATAGTTCTGCTCTGACACACATGAAGCCGACATGAACTCAAACTGCCTTGACAGCAACTGCAGCTGAACTAGAACCCCACTCTAGGTGCCAGTGTGATGAGGCTGAGGGTGTTGGGCAAAGTTCTCTTTAGCCTCAAAACACAGACACTGTAGGAAGAACGAGCCAGCCTGCATTCTTGGGGTCGCAGACAAAATACAAATGAACAGTTGAGGCAGGGTCAGTGCTGTGAAACACATGTTTTGAGGGTTGGGGTCGGACTTTAGCTGGGCTGGCTGGCACTGACACTCCCTCCTACTAGAGTGCTTCTGTTTTTCTGGTGTGTGACCTACTTCAGGCCATAACCTTGCAGATGGCCCCCACCTCTGCCTGGATAGACCTAAGCCATCTGAAGACAGGGGAGAATGGAGCTGATACGGAGGCAGGCAGGCCCATGCCTTCTCCTTTGGGATTTGGGCTTTTCAGTGTTTACAGAATCTCAGCAGGAGATATTCAATAGGTCAGTCTTTTATGTTTTAATTAGCGAAGTTTTTTTTATCTCCTCCCATGGCAAGCAAAGCAAACAGCCAAATTCAAAGTCCTCCAGTGCACTTGCACAGGTTGAGGGACAGGCAAGAGAACGTACTAAAAAGACTACACATAATGGTTTGAATTCCATATTGAGCAAAAATCTGCAATGAGAGTCAGAAAATGATTTCAGAGTCATCCTCAACTAAGCATGACATGTAAAAAGCAACCAAGTGGCAAAGGGCTCTACTCACTCACATACATCCACCATTTCTGCAACACACACTCAGTTTAGACACACATTATACACACACTCAGTTAAACATGGTAGGGAAAAATATAAAATCTACAAGAAATCGAATCCAGCACTTTATGCGCTTTCTAATAGTCTAAACTCATTAAATTAATGAATGGTTAAAGTATTTAAGAAAGTCTACTTCGAATGCGTTTACATATCCCTATCTCTGTTTATAAATTAGTGTGCTCTGAAAGCAGTTTCCATAGAAATTTACTCCATAGCAATGCCAAGTTATTTTTATTAGGCCAATTACATTTGCCTTTCATACGATTAGCTGTTTTACAAAGCTTCTCAACTTTGCGTGAGATATTAGAAGGTTGTAAAATCTCAAGATTTTTTTTGAATATAGGCCATTTTTAACTGCCCTTGAAATTAAGATAAGAGCAATCCAGGCCATCAAAGTCATTAATCGTCTTTAAATATTATTTCAGCTATTTACTATTATACATATTTTAAGCCAAATTATTACATGATATGTAGTCGGAATGACAATTTGAAAGTAATCTTTAAACTGTGTTTGTCCCAGCTGACAGGAGAAAGAATAGGAGGTGGTCATTTACAATTTTTGCTACCTAAAACCCATGCCCTATCTTCTGGTAAACACCACTTGGCTTTTCTTCAGGGGATGAGCTTTCTTCATTTGCAGCTGAGTGCTGTGATGGGACTGGCTCCCACCCTGCACAGGGCCTGGCCTACTCGGTGAAAGAAAGGGCTGTGAGACAAAGGCGGCGGTGTGAGGGAAGGGTTGCCTTCAGACTCTCTCCCTTTGCAGACATGTTCATGTTAGTGCACCAGGTAGGTAGGAGAGCATCCCCAGTATTAGTTCATCTGACTCTGTCCTCCAATTTTAAAGCCTGTTGGGGAAAAGTCAAGCAGTAACTCAGATGATTTGGGAAGGCCCTCGTGGCAAGAAAGGACAATGGTGGCACAGCTGCCATGGAGTAATTACTGGACGCAGTTAAACTTGAATAAATACTTGTCTTGCCTAGACCTTTTGTGAAATCAAAGGCAAGAATTACAAATAACTAGTTTTAAAATCACGGTACAAACATATGTTAAAGATTAGTTTTAAACCACTTGTGAGTATATATTAAATTTAGCTTATTTTAATTTTAAAATATCCAGCTGCTAACCCAAAAACACTCTTAGGGTTATATAGAAGAGTTTAGAGCTTCCTTCCTTATAATGAAGATCTTAGAGACAGAATGCATAATCCTTTACTATAGGAGCTACACACTTACGTAACACCAAGATTATCCCTAATTACTATAATCTGAGTGTTAGGCAGCAGACTGAATTGTGTGAGAGAGAAAAAAGGTCTGCCTAGAGCAATTGTTATCATCATTTGATCTTCCGTCAAATTGAAAGTAAGCGATAGGAAAGGAAAATCACAAACATGGGAATTTAATAATGAGCCAGTACCCACAATTAGATTTTAGAAGCCAGCACATCTGAAAGCAGGCAATCAGGTGATGGCCTACCTCCTGTTTATGCTGCTGGCCTTTGTATCTGGCCCGAGGTATTGACTCAGTAGGGCCTTGAAACGACTCCGTTCCCTCCCCTGGCTGGACCCCTAGGACCTGCGCCGATGAGCAGGGCAATGACAGAGCACTCACCTGGAATGAGAGGAGAGCTCACTAAGGTCGCCTATGCTGCCTTCGGCAGCATTGCTGACAGAAATGGCAGAGGCGTAGCTGTGAACTGCGTACATCTTCACTTGTTCAGCATCAGGTCCAGAGATGTCAGCAGACTCAGCCCACTGCTCGGCCCGGCTGTGGACCATGGACCTGCTGCCAGTCAGGTGCAATGGGCCAAGGATCGACGTGGGCACGCAGGGGGTAGTGTCGATACCACTGTCCGTGGAGGCCCCTTTAATGTAGGTTAAGCCCAGCAGTTCCGGATCGATCAGGTCTGCAGACCCAAAGTGCTTATCATCACTGTTGCTGGAGGTGTTGCTGGAAAGTGTATTGCTGCTGGAATGACGTGAGCAACTTTTATCTCCAATCTTGAGAAGAAAGAGAAGCAAACACTTTCAAACGGACCTTCCTCATAAAGGCCGCTCTTCTCATGCAGATTCACAAAACTATAACCCTAAATGGTCTCATCTAGACTCTCATGAGCCACTCACTACTGCAAGTGAGACAGCGGTAAACTCACTTTTTATGCAAAAGTCCCTGTTTCCTACTTTTTAAACTTTATCTTCAGTGGGTAGTTCTCCTTTTGAAGTCTGGGTGAACTATTTATTCATGAAGCACAATGACATTGTCACAGTAACACTAGTAATAAAATAATCGATAGTGGACCATCCTGCTACCAATACAACAGTTCCATAACTATTACTTCCTTACATAACTAGAGGGCCAGTTCAGAATTTTGATCAGAAGACCGTGGTCTGAGTCACAGTGATAGCACTCTCGGGCAGCCACCAAACCACCCTGTGCTTACAATACTGAACTGACACGGCTAATGGGTGGGACAAATCAGATAATAAGCTATATACAAGAGTACTTTGCTGTTGCAAAGCACAATAAAAGCATGAGGTACTTTTCCATGAGAGATCAGTTAAATGATGTGCCAAATGACAAGGGACAGGATTTCTATTCATGTAGCTACGTCTGAAAACGAGTCTGGGGTACCTTGAGGATAAAAATAAACAGAAGACAGTAAGTGTTCTAGTCTGTCCACTGTGTTCATACTGATAAGGACCCTCTTACTTGCCTGGGAAATGAATGATAGCTACAGCAAAGGACTGAAGAATACCGCACACAAGCACGTGATCGATTTAACTGTGGTTTGGCCCTTTTCTTCTTTTATTCACTCCAATCAGATCCTTTGGCAAATACCCTTGGTCTTTTTATCGTTCATTCATCAATATTCTAAAGTCTATACTTCTTCCTGCTTCCCTCTACTTTAACTACTGTTAGAGCTGTTTGCTGGCAGGATTTAAATAGATACTGAGGCCGACTCAAGAACAGGGGCAGGTCACAGGTTAGGAAAGAAAGGTGGCCCATGCTGGCTAATGGGTGACATGAAGGCTCGCCAATGCCACACTGAGGGGCCGAAAGACACAGTCTGGAGCAGGAGCACACAATACTTCTGTAAAAGAACCTGAAATTGGCCAACAATGCGAGTCGAGCTATCAGGAGGACTAGGGGAGGGTGGGGGGAGAAAGGGGAATCGATCACAAGGATCAACATAGAACCCCCTTTCAGGGGGATGAGCAATGGAACAGTGGGTGAGGGGCAATGGCGGATAATGGTAGATATGAAAATAATAATCTGTAACTTATCAAGGGTTCATGAGGGAGGGGTGAAGAAATGGCAAGCAGCTATCAGGGGCTCAAGTGGGAAGAGAATGCTTTGAAAATGATGATGGCGGCATATGTGCAAATGTCACTGACACACTGGAGGAATGTATGGATTGTGATAAGAGAAGTAAGAGCCCCCAATAAAAGTATTGAATAAAAACAAAAATAAAACAATAAGGATATCATGGGGAAACAAACTGAAATTGTTTACTATATATGGCAACAATCAACAATTCCTGTTACCAAGTTTAAGTGAAACATTTGCTTCATTGGCCATAGTCTGCCTCATAGGATTGTCATGAGGAGTGAACTCACTGTGCACCGCCCCGTGGGGAAGGGTCAGGCACTACTGTAACAGTGCACACCCGCTGCCTGTTGCCTTGCCACTGTGAATATGTGCCACTGTGCACAAAGCACTGACCAGGGAGCAGTAACTGCACACCACATCACACACCACTGAACCAACACTGACCTCTCTACGTTATGCCCCTAAATGGATGCATGGCTAGTAGGTTAAAAATGGAACTATTATTTAATAGCTACAACAATGGATATCAAAGATCAAAGCCTGGCAATATACTCCTGGTATTGCCATTGATTTGTGGTATGACCTTTCTTTGAGGTATTTTATGAATGAGGGCAAGAAGGAGGGGAGGGAGCTCTACTCAACTTTTTCCCTTTCCTTTACCTCTAGGAGACAAACGGTGAGACATCCTATAAGAATCCCTGACAATAGTGTTACACTAGTGATGTATGCATTGTGATGCATTAGTCCTGAATAAAGGTGCAATTCATTTACACATGAAAGACTTACATGAGAAAGTTTATTGGGAGAATCTTTACAACTTCCATCTTTCTGCAGGGCTCTTTCTTTATAGGAACTCCGTACTTTGGAAGGTGGACCATGCCATTTAGCTTCTGTTGTATAAAGAGAGAAGAGTTGGGTATCTAATTTCTAATGCTTGCAAAAGAGTAGCGGAGAGCAGAGGTTTGGTACAAACATATCAAATGTGTTGTTCTAGGACTTGCCGGCCTTACCCAGGAGCAAGTCTTAGAAGTAAAGACATCAGTGCAATAAAGTTCAAAGCCACTAAGGTGCCATCAACCAGGGCTACCCCGCTATCGAGTCGGGGACTGGCTTATGATCGCCAGCAGGAGGCACAAAGGTGCTCCCTGAAAACCTACCAAAGGAAGGAATAAACCGCGATGTGCAAGGGAAGAGAAGAGAGGGCTGTAAAAGGAGGCCCTCTCCTCTGGGAATTATTACCAGGGTGCCTGCTTCCTTCCACGATGTCCTCTCGCTGCTCCCTGGCCCCTTCACACTCCAGAGGGCCTGAGCCCTGGTGGTCAAGTAGCAGAGGAGACTGGCCCCTGGAAAGAAACATACACTTGAGCCTCTCTGCTCATTCCATCCATTGGTGTGACCACTGTGATTTTGGCTGTAAATCAGCAATGCAAAGAAAATGCCAGATCAGAAGCTGTCTTCTAGCGTGTGGAAAATGCAGTATCTGTCAGCCCAGTCCTGCCAGAAACACTAATATTTGTGAAACTAGGGGATCTGGTTCCACTGAAGGGTCAGTAGAGGCACGTTGATGACAGATAAAGAAATCCTGCTGACTCCAAGGCCAACACAGAGCGCACTGTTCTTTTCTTCTCAGGCCTATTATATATGGCCCTGAGACTTCTCTGCAAGCAATATATATATATATATATTGCATCCAGACTACTTCCAGGTGGGTATTATTTTATGGAAACCAAAAATATAAAAATACACTTCTTACAGGTGAAGTAAGGCAAAACATTGTTTTCTCACATCACAATGTGATTCTTTTGGTACATAGAAACACTAGACAATGTTTTTCTATTTCTATAAAAACTCCTCTGTACTTATAAATTACAATTTGATTTAGAAAAAGCAGTTTACATAACCACTTAAAACAATCTATTACATAAGGTACACAATATATAGAACTCAGACTACAAGCCTACATCAGAAGAGAAGTGGGCCCCAGGGGGAGAAATTTCACATGATACAGATGAAATCAGAAATAAAGCTTCTCTTCTCACATGGCTCTTCTCCTTGGTCACAGTCATTCTCTAGTTGAAATCACTCCTATCCAGCACCTTTAAACCTGGGAGGATTGACTCTATGGCAAACCAGCCCTCTAAACGCTGCTTCAAGGAGCAATGACTGTTCCAAAAAATAACAAAAGCAGTAGGAATGCACAGAGACCTGCCCTTTTCTTCCCTAAAAGCTCTCAATGCCTTCCTTGAGTTTTCAGCATCAATCCGTGTGGCTGTCACTACGTTCACAAGAGCTCCTGGCTCTGTCAGCGCTGCCTCCTGGAAACCAGGCACGTACTCCAAGGGCAAGTTCATAGAAAAGCCTTCAAGGCAGGCAAACTTCTTCTCAAGCAGGAAGCAAAAAAGACATGTCAAATGCTTGCCACACACTAAATCTGCTTTCTCTGATTCTGATGGTGTCTGAGGAGAAAAGGCACTTGCAAAAGAATCTGACTTTGCTCCGCTTCAGTAACTGAAGGGAGAGAAAACTCTCAAGGGCCATCGAACCCCTTAGACCTTGAACTTTCACTTTTTAAGATAGCCTTTCTTTTTATCACAAAGGAAAAAGAATTAGCTGAGGATACAGATGAATTGAGTGCTTCCTAAAACAGAAATAAAGAGCTTTCTAACCGGGACAAGTTATTTGACTGAAACTCATGCCTGGCATACAATGTAAGAACCCACAGACAATATAAACACGCTTGACATAATCCCAAGAGCATGCCACTCCTGGAGGACAATAAGATAAAAGGGACAGTACCCGTCATATGGCACTTGCTGTCTCCAGTGGCCACCACTGGCGCTGGGCCCCGGGTCGCTGGAAGATGACTGGTTGCTGGGCGAACTTCTGCAATGTTGACCAGAGTCATTAACAGTGCACTGGGGGCTCTGTGGACGGTCAACACCTTGACCTGGCCTGTTTGTTTTCCAAATACATTCATTTTTTTATGACGACAAAAAAAGGGAGAAATATGCATTTTAATGTGAACCAGAATAAATCATACAGGATAAAACAAAGTAAGGATGGATATGATATATTAGGTAATGAGAGGTTTATTATTAAAGGGAAGGGATGCAAGCAGAAAGGAGTTTTCCCCTCTAAGGTGTTAAACCTCAAACAATGATTCCAGTGAAACAGGAAGGTGTCCCACCACAACCCCTGGGAATGCGTAACTCTGCAAACATCGGCACTTCTTGCCATGCAGCACACAAGCAAAGCCATGTTTTGGTTCTCTACTTAACTGCATGCAGAGAGAAATTCCCAAATTTGGCAAGACCTACTCATTTTCACACATCATGTGAATGCAACTCTATTCATCTTTTTTATAAGCACAAAAGTGAGTAAAATTCAAGAACTCATGTAATAAAACTACACTTACCAACTTTCCCTTTTGCTACTTTTTGTTGTTGTTGTTCCTCTTGATTTTCCCCTTGTAATTTCCTTACTTTGATTTTATTAAGGCAGGTTCATTCTGCAGACCCCTTTCCTTTCCCATGTCACTTGTGGCCCTGCTGCTCCTGTGACCTAACCTATGTGTATTATTTTGAATGTAGGTGGTCTAGACACTCAGTAGGACTTTCTCTCAACAGGGAGGTTCAGGGCGAAGATGGGTCAGTTGTAATTTCAAATTAAAACTGGATAATTCTAGAAATAACAAACTGGAAAAAGCAGTAAATAGGACCACATTAAAAATTTTCTACCAATTATGATTGGTACTCATATAGGCTATATATGTGCATGTACACTTTAAAGCATTTTGCATGGATTAATTTATTTAATCCCATTAATGCCTGATAAAAATTCTATCATTATTTTCTTTTCTTAGAGAATAAACAGAAGGTGTACAGAGGACAAGTAACTTGACCCTCGGTAGCACACACCTTGGAAGTGAAGAGTTGGGATTCAAACCCAGGTGCCCTGACTCACAGCATAATATCAGACTAGCATTTGGCAAGCTGCTTTGAGAAAACTCACGATGTGGCAATGGTATATAAGTTACTAAGGGTAAAGTAAAACAGGAATAGGAATTAACAACAACAAAATTAATTTGTTTTATTCACTTAAAAGGACCTCTGCAAATTTTGCAGATAAAAATTCTCACCAGCTTCTAAACAAACACATTCTTTCATTGAACAATTTAATTTTAAAGTGTCCCTTACTTTTAAAAATAAACTTTGAAGAAAAATGCCAATAATGTCAAACCTTTTAATGTATGACATACACAGTGATGTTGGGAATTGGGCATTGATTTTTCAGGGGCAGTTTTGCTTTACTTATACTCAAAATTATGTTCATCTGGAGGAGCCCTGGTGGCACTGCTGGGTAAGTGTTGGGCTGCTAATTAGTGGTTCAAACCCAACTCAGGATAAAGCTATCCAATCCCATAAAGATTTATACCTTCAGAAACGCTACATAGGAGGGTTGCTCTAAGTCAGAATTGACTCTATGACAATGGGCTTGTTTTTGGAATTTGGTTTTGTTTTGTGTTGTGGGGTGGATGAATGCAGTGCGATTCCGAGAGTACCTTTTCTAAGGCTGTTCAGAGCAAACTGGCCAGGGGACGAGGGCCTGATGGGCTGGGGTGTGGCTAAAGTCTGCCTTTTGGCCAAAGCTATTGTTGAGCCTAGAGGAAGCTGGGCCACTGAGTCTGGAGCCTACATGCCATTCTTTGGGCCAATCTGCTCAGAGCAAGCAACTTAGAAATCATTAAAGCAAATAAAAAGTCCCTCCATACAAGATCACATTCTTAAACATCATCATTTTACACGAGCTGTCTTTGAAGATGCAGCAGGAGTCTTGAGACAGGACAAAGCGTTACCTTGTGCCATCAGGCAGCTTCCGGTCAAAGGAGGTGCTACGAGGGATGGCTGCTTGTGCTTGCTGGAGGAGCTGTTGGCACTGTAGCCGGTCGGGTGTGCCAGGCACAGGCGAGACTCTGGAGAGGGGCTGCATGGTGGCAGGGGTGGGCACTCGGTGCCAGGTAGTGTTCCTCCTGAAGGGTGTCTTGTACTCGCATGGTGTGCCCTCACTGTCCAGTTTGTATTCCACCATGGGGATGCGGCAGAGCTCCGAGCACCCTCTGTGGACAGCAAGAGACCGTGAGAAGAGGGGTGTGGCTGAGTCATACACACAGCTCCCTCTGGCTGTGCCTGAGCAAGGCCAGCCGACACACGCAACAGAAACCGTGACGTTCTGCAAGTCCCAGGAACCTCTCCCGAGAACGAAAATTCTTTCATGGATTTTGAGATTAGACTGAATCACCACCACTACCATCATCATTATCTGCCAGCAGTTATAGAGGTCAGGAATGATGAAGACCTATAGCTTGAGTAGCCATACACAATGTTGCACTAGTGAACTGGTGGGGGCACCTGTGCCAATAGGGCTCTAATGGCTATTAAAATGCTGAGATGCAATGGACAAAAAGCTACAGTCCCTAGTTCATTTTGACCCACTCTTCCCTCTTTGAGGAATGGAGTTATTAATACCTAGCATAAGAAAAAGTCTCCTGGTCCCTGCAGGTTATTAAAAATTTTAAATCCATTTCTGGACATCACGGGCACTACAATTAGAAATTACAGGCAGAACCAAGATTGCACACGTTGTCTCCAGTCTCCAAATTCTTGGTTTCTGCCTGAACAGAAAGAGATCCTACAAATGAGGACACAGCCAATGATAACAATTTTAATGGATGATAGGCATGTTCCTTCCTTGTCTGTATGAAAACTTACCCATTGTATGCGTTGTATATATGCTGCTCACTGTATGCCAACTATACCTCAGTAAAGTTGTAACTAAATCTTATAAAGGAGGAGGAGAAAAGCTTCCTTTTGTTAAAAGCTGGATCCGTCCAGAAAGCCTTTGGTAAATAAGGTACAATGGAAGACCGGGCTACTTAGCGAGCAACCAAACTGGGCCATAGTAACTTGGTTGAGATGAAAGACAAAATATAATTTTTATAAAGCAATTGAGTCATGTTTGAAACCCTATAAAATGAACTTTAACTTGTGCTTGCTGGGATTGGCAAATTCTAATTGGTTTCTTGTTGCAATATCCTTCTCATTGCAAATTGGTATGAGATTTACCTTCCTAAAAATGTGCAGTGTCTCCTTATTGCCTCTGAAATGCACCCTCTACATAGGTCCTTACTTCCAGGGCACTTTCCTTAGTTCCTAAAAAATGCCATCCTGTCCACTTTGGAGTTCAAGGCAATGTGGCTAATAGACCACAGAACTGGACCACATTTAATTTTGATTGACTTAACAAACGGATCATTCACTTTTTTTAAAGTAGGACTGCAGCGAATTGAGTATGGAAATCCACTTTTTCATTAAATTTGGCATCTGAATTGCTATAATGTAAAATATACACTGGAGTTTGAAGACCTAATACAAAAAAAAATGTAAACTCTCTTACTAGGACCTTTTATAATAATGTTATGTTGAAATTAAAATTCATTAGAAATATTTGTATTACTTTATAAAATATGTATTAATTATAGTATACAATGAATATAAATATATAAAATATTTACAGTATTAAAAACAATTGCACTTGTTTCTTTTGACCTGTAATTGGATACAAGATGATTTCCAGTGAAATGGTTCTGTTGGACGGGGCTGCCGAGAAGAACCTGCTGCTTAACAACTGGGAGCACATGTGTTCTTTGCAAATGCCTGGTTGGCACCCAATTGGCTGGCTCTTTCCTCTTCCCCAGCAATCATATCCTCCCAGTATCGGCTCAAATCCCACCTTCTGGAAAAGATTTTCCAACTCTGCTAAGCAGTACAAAGGCTAGCCAGCCTCTGTACAAGTTTACAAAGCTATATGTGGCCTGGGTAGGGCCTCTGACAGGAAGGGTGGGACATAGGCCCAGGGGCAGAGGAGAAATGGCAAGATCCTGGTGAATTCGGTCTAGTGGCCTGATACCTTTATATACACAAATCATAGGACTGCAGAGAAGGCTCTATCCCACACTGATGGTGACATTTCGTTCTTTCCATCCCATCTGCTATTTTTGGGTCTGATTAATTGGCAGATAATGCCACTGGGAATTCCAAGTCTATCTTTTTAGTTAGTTTGCAAACTTTTAGAAGGACCATAATATATTTTGAATCAATTTGCATGCTTGCGTGCACAACATCAGTCATATTAAATGTGGGCAATTGACATATTTTGTAGCTTAAAAAATGCTTCACCTAGAAATTAAGATGGTGGCTGGCTATCAGATAAAATAGCATCTGGAATCTTAGTGGCTTGTCTCCAAACAAGCAGTTATCTAAGTGAGCTGTCAACTAATTCCACATGGAAGAAGCACACCAGTACCAGTCATTGAAGGGTTGTAAATCATGTAATCTGAGGTCGAAGGAAGGATTAGTATCAGAGCCTAAATTTTGAGATTCTGACTTGCAGAAGGCTATGGATGGCAATGGGAGTCCATGATATATTTGTGGGAACTATGAAGGAAATAAGCCCCCGGTGATCTCCCCCTGTCCATAATTGAAGGATGAAAGGAAAGTGGTTACTAAGCAGAGGGCATTGGAGAGGTGAGTATAGAAGATCAAAGGGATAAACCTGACTTGAACAGTTAAAACTTTGTCAGTTGATCCCCCCTGTGTTAGTCTGGGTACTTTAGAAAAACAAATCCACAGAAACTCACGTATGAGAGTTTTATATAAAGGTTAAGTGCACCTCAAGAAAATATCCCAACCCAGTGCTGCCCAAGCCCACACATTAACCCACTAACCCATATGTCCAACACCAGTCCACACAGTCCTCCTCCAACTCACAAAACAGACACAACGATGCTGACTGTAACTGCAAGAGGCAAACCGAGTCAGTGAATGAGTAAACATCTCAGTGCTGTCAAGGGTCTCCACAAGGGTGCTCCAGCACCTAGGGCTGCATTGGGGTAGGTCCATGTGGCTTCTTGGGGATGTCTTGCAGGAAGTCAGCCTTGCAAGTTGAAGCAGGGAACTGCTAAGACAACTGGACCCTGTTGCGACCGTCACAAAGCAAGAGACCCTAGAACTAGAAAGGCAAGGCTCACTGAGCCATTTATCCCTCCACCCTTCAATTAGCCCCACATGTGTTTATCAGCCAGTTTGGCACACTAAACTAACTCAACCCACCCCTTGCCAACCTGGCACCTGTACATCAATCATTCTTTAGCTTAACAATGGCAATTAAGTAACACTTACAGCTTAATCCTATGATCCTGCGAATGTGTTCTCCCACCTATGAAAGTTTGTAAGCCAACCACTTCATGCCATTGTCCCCCCAATTTCGGGTATCCAATTTATCTATTGTCCACTTACATCAACCCAGTTCTCCGAGAAGACAATCATTTTTTGATATGAAGAGCCTTCATTCCAGTTGGAACCTTGTGAAGTCTGCATGCATAAGCAAAGTCAAATC